AACATCCTCCCTCTTGCTATCTGATAGGCCCCTGCCCATCTATCCTTTCAGAGATGACTTAAAGATTGGCTCTTTCCCTAGGAGTTGAGAGAGAGGCTAGGGTGGGATGAGACTGTGGAATAAGAAAAACTGTGGGTATGGCTCCAGGTTTTTCTGGTTTTAGTTTTACTGTTGTTGGTTTTATACTGTTTTATTGGTTGCAAGCGGCCCAGAGTTGTTGTAAAACAGGCGGTTATGTCTTTTTAAAAAATTAAATTAAAAAACAACCTTGTTTACTTTCAATACACAAGCAGAAAAATGCTTATTCTACATCATATTGCTTTTTTCATTTAATTTTCCTTATATCTAGCTTTATTATTTTGCTTTCTTTTAACATGTAGATTTTAATTATTTCAGGTAGGAATATGTTAGATATTGCTTACATTTGTCATTTGTACAGTACTATACATGTGTATATGTGGCACACACACACACCAGAATATACATGTATTTTGGATATATTCTGTTCATAAAAAGCAGTCAAGAAAATAGAACCTACCGGGGAGGGTAGAAAAGTAGTTGTCCTTTGCTGGATGGGTATAAGTATATAGCCAAAAATAACACATACGTCTTTAAAGCAGTGACCAATCAGTTACACCAACAATTCTACAGTATTGATCTGAGCCCAACCCTGAGTTAATGTTCTAACTCTTGTGTTGTACTGTATCTTCAAAAGCAAGGCAAAAGTAACCAGCACTGATTAAACATTGTCTGAGGTGGCACATTGTTTTACAGATGGCACCTGGCACCAGTAAGGTTAGCAAAAATCTCAGCAAATACCTCCTCAAAATGTTGGAAATGTGAATCAATACACCGAACATATTATTACTTATGATGGATTTGTGAGGAGGCTAAAAAGTATTGGAAAAGGATTAAAAATTGGCCAGAGTCAATAACAGGAGTCAAAATAGATTGGAAACCAGAAGTTTTTCTACTAGAATGACTGCGAAATATAAAAAAGAAATCCAGTATTTAATTTTACATATAATTATGGGGGCGAGGATTGCCTTTGCTCAGAAATGGAAAAAGAAATTAATACCAAGCGAAGATGAAATAATAAGAAAGGTTATAGACTGTTCCAAAATTGACAAATTAACAAAAAAAATCTAGGAAAAAGAAGAATATTACCAGATATGGGATAAATGGTATAGGTGGATGGAGGAAAGAAACAAAGATCAATGACGGAAGTCAATAAAACCCAAAGATAGTAGTTAAGAAGAATTCACACACACACACACACACACACACACACACAAACTCAAGAGTGTTTAAATGTACTAGAGGTAATCACCCAATATAGCAGCTAGATGAGTAAAATAAGATGGTGAAATGCAAATGAAATATACTAGAAGGGAAAATAACATAAGGAGAATTGTATCGATTGGTAATTGTTATTAGAAAGAACAGGAAGTTCCTGTTCGTATTGTATTGTGTAAACGTAGAGTACGTCTAAGTTTTGTGTGTGTGTATTTTGTATGTTTGTAAATAAATAAATAAAAATTTAAAAAAACATTTTCTGAGGTAACCAGAATTTGTGAAACACATTTCAATATTATTTATTACAGTACCTTGTTTTAAAACCATAGGAATCAAATGTTATTTAAACCAACCAACCAGTGAGACAGTAGGATCGAGATTCAAGCTTTTTTATATTTTATAGACCTTATAAAGAACTACCCTAGTATCAATTTGGTTCCCCTAGAAATAGTTACTTGTTTGAGAGACACAATTCCTCTGATCCATGGGTTACCAAGTGTTAATGAAAAAAATTGTGCTGATCAGGGTCAAGTTTAGTTTTGAGAGGACTTTGAATCCTATCAGGCTATGTTCAACAAGATTTCCATCACTAGTCTATAATAATAATAATCATAATCATAAAAGGTACATTAAAGAAAGAAACAGAGTCACTAATCCTGGCTGCCCAAGAACAAGCTATCCGTACAAATGCCATTAAGGCCAAAATCGAAAAATTCTCTGATGCCAAATGCAGACTTTGCAAAGAAGCTGATGAAACTGTTGATCACATACTCAGCTCCTGTAAAAAAATCACTCAGACTGATTATAAATTGCGGCACAATTCAGTAGCACAAATGATCCATTGGAATTTGTGCAAAAATTATAATATTAAAACAACAAACTGGTGGGAACATAAGCCTGAAAAAGTCACCGAAAATCAGATGGTCAAGATCTTGTGGGATTTTCGCATACAAACGGACAAAACACTGGCGCATAATACAGCACACTGGTTGAGAAAAATAAGGTTACAATCATAGACATCGCAATACCAGGTGATAGCAGGGTCGACGAGAAGGAATATGAAAAAATCGCAAAATACCAGGACTTAAAAATCGAAATTCAACGGCTATGGCACAAACCAGCAGTGGTAATTCCAGTGGTAATTGGCACACTGGGTGCTATTCCAAAAGCACTGGAATTACATTTAAAACAGTTAAAAATTGACAAAATCACCATCAGTCAAATGCAAAAAGCCGCACTGCTTGGATCTGCACGCATATTACGAAAATACGTTACGACGTCCTAGGCCCCTGGGTGGGGCCCGACTAGTAACCAATGCCAAATCCAGCGAAACAACTGGCCGCTGTGATACAATTGTATAATAATAATAATACATAAAAATGTATTATTATAGCAACAGCTGTTGTCTGGCCAAGACCTCCTGCTGAAGCCCACCAAATCATTCTATTCATCTAAATACTGTATATACTCCAGTTTAGAGAAAACAACTGTTAATTACACAAATCAAAGAAATAATGGTTTCTGGCCTACCTAGAAAACATGCCTTTTCGGCAGTTCTCCTTCGGTTAGTCACTGTCAGCTATTAATATATTTGCAGTTAGAAATTGCACATATGTATCTCACTGTACACGTGTATGTACATTACTGAAGTAATTCCCCTCTGCGCTTTGGATATGTTCTTGTGGAAGCCTTTACTAACCATTTTTCTTCAATCATCATAAGCAAGTTGAATTCATTAGCAGATGCTGACATCTCAGTGTTGAGGCCAAATATGGTTATGAACAAATTTAAAGGAACCAATCCTCACACAAGTTGCTATAGATGTGCAAAACTCACCAATCCAGAATCATTCCATTCCCCATCTGGATTATGTTATCTTCCTCCATTGCCCAACCATCCATGCCATTCTGGGGATATTTGGGCAATTTTTGATAGTAAAGTCTAATTCCTCTGAATTAGAAGTGATTTGACATTTCTAACTGAAAACCAGGCTTATTTCATTCAGGATTCCCTGAACTATTTCTGAGGATTTCTGGAACAGTTTGGTTAAAAAGGGAACCAAACACCTCCAGAACATTCTGTTCCTGAAGTAGTAAATTTCACATATTTGTGGAAATGGCACTGCTCCACTTCGAAACTGTAACATTTATTCCTACAATTTTCTGTTCTTTAATTACTCACCGATCTTAAGATGACTTTTAACATCACTGCTAAATTTGCAGACAATGTAGCAAAACATAATTGAAATTGCAAATAAATGATGCTAACACCATATAATTATTTAGAATCTCAAAAACTTGAGAATTTAGCAAGATATTGTAGAAAATATCTTCAATTTATATTTCTGCAAGGTACTTCTCAATACCTGATCATTTAAATTGATTTTAAAAAACAAACAGGCAAATAGTCAATTAGTACAGATGACATTAAATTGGTGTATTGTTCGTCGGAGCCAAGGTTGATCCGCCACCCAGAAGAACCCATTTATTTTCCCCTTAAGCGCGTCGGTCTTTCCCTGGCATGGAGACCGGGCAGAACAGCGTCTGGGTTGTGCCACCCGGCACTCTTCATGCACCTGCCGCTTTAGTAAGCACTCCTGAGCATGGGCGATGCCGGTGGAGGTGGATGGATTTAGGCAACCCTGTGAAAGGGTTGTTCGACTCCCAAAGGGGTCGCGATCCACAGATTGAGAACCGCTGATCTAGAGTCTCTCTTTTCTGTTAGGTAAGCGCAAAGCATACTTTTTTGGAGAAAAATGTTCTGCTTCTCCTCTAAACCATGCTAGGTTGATTATTCCAAGGTGCCTTTAGGTTTTTTAAAAACTGAACCATCTGAACCAGATTGCAGTGTTCTAAATGAAATAAGCTGCTTTAGGGTGACCCTATGCCTTGAACACTGCAAATTGCATATATTTATTACTTTCCAGAAAATTGCTGACAATCTGAATGCCAGGACCGGCTTGCTGCAAGGAAATAATTTGCACATCTGTACTTAACACAATCAGAAATTTAATCTTTTGTCATCATTATTCTACTTAGTTTTTCAAATTCTACTTCCTTGGAAATAGAATCTGTTCAAAGCATTCATAATTTTCCTCCACTATCTACAATGAAAGGAGACACAAGTGGCTTATTCAGTTTCTCTACATTCTCATCTTTTTTTCTGATTTTTCTGGATCACTATGTGACATTTTAGCTAATTAAATTTACATATTTTGTATTCTTTATAACAACAGGTTCCCTATTTTTTCATTTCATATTTATTTTGTGCAACTGTAATTATTCTTCATTTGGAGACGACTTCCATTTTCTAATGTCAGTTTTATTTTCAAATGTTTCTTTATTAACTATACTGCAATTTCACTAACAATACTTCTTTCCATAATTTTATTAACAATAGATACAAACACATACAAATATTTTGTTCATATGAATATTGAATGACTGCCTAACTTCTTAAGGTTATACTCTGGACAAAGTGTTACCTTTCTTAACCCAAAGTGTTACTAAGTTTGTTTTTTGTGGCTATTTTCCATTTAAATATAAATCAAATTTGATGGCATTTATGTTTTTTTCCCCAGATGTTTTTAAACTATGAATTTCAATTGACAGGGGAGTAGCATTTACCCAAACAGACAAAAATATTGATGCGTATGCACTACATTGAATTGTAACAAGCATGAAGACTATTCATGGATACACATATACAAAATAAGTGAATTGGTTTATTTAAAAATGTACACAGGGAACACAGGTATTAACTAAACAAGAAAATCCACTGATTTGATGACACTGAATTGCTCCAAGAGGAAGAAAAGAAGTCAAATTTGCCAAATAAACATAAACTTTTGGAATACATAATCAGGATTGGGAATTCTCCTGTAAAATATTGGATAGTCCTAATACTTAGAGAGAGTGAGAGTTAATATCTTGGAAGTCCAATAACCCACAGTGACCTGCAGTGTCAGCCAACCCGCAGTGGAGGAGCAACCAATACAACTCCATCTCCTCTGACAAACAGCATTGGAATATTCCTCTTGGTAGACTGTGGAAAGAAAAAGCAACAAGGCTTAGACTACATTCAAGAATACCAAATAACCATTACCATATTCTCCTCCTCTCCTCTCCTCTCCTCCATTCCATTCCTATTAAACAGAACTAGTTCTATTTAAGATGGTCTGGTGCAGTGGTTCTCAACCTTCCCAATGCCTCGACCCTTTAATACAGTTCCTCATGTTGTGGTGACCCCCAACCATAAAATAATTTTCGTTGCTACTTTGTAGCTGTAATTTTGCTACTGTTATGAATGAGTAATGTAAATATCTGATATGCAGGATGTATTTTCATTATTACAAATTGA